GTTTTTCTTTTGGCGTGACTCATTATACACCGACTCTAATTCAAACTATAAAAAATACTTACTATGATTTTTCAAATATTTACATAGGAATCGTACTTTGTAGCTTCGACTTTCATTTCCTCATTGCCTACACACACAAAACGAAAATTGTATCAGTTAAAATATTAACCTTTCAATTTAAAAGTTTGTTACTTGAACTATGAAAATATTTGAAACAACAAGGTTATTTTCAATTCAAAATAGATGTTTTGATTATAACTTGTAGTTTTAAAAGTTCAGATTTTCAAATCAAAAATTGTTTTACTGTCAAAACAACTTCTTCGGGGGTAGGTTTCTACTCGTTTCTGGTTAGTTTTTGAATAATACCTTGTTCAGACTACAGAGTTATAACATCACCGACAAACCGACATGAAACTAAAACTTAACTCTTGATCGAGAATCCATAACGGCGGATTCAAATGTGCAGCGATCCCATCTGTCAAAACCGTAGAAATTTGTTATTTAGCTAAACATAATTTCCCCGGAATAGATTAGACACGAACCAACTCAAACATTTAGTATGTGTGTTCGTAGCTAGTATACACATTTTTCGCGAACACGACGGCAGATGTCAGTTTTGTGCTTTGATCAGAAATTTGATGATACTTTGTATGATCATTCATGTTGGTTTGTCAGTGATATCATTTAATAGTGCTATCTTGATGGTGGTTTCTGTGTTGCAATTATTTGAAAACCGTTATTACAAGTTATAACTCTCCAGTCTGCATAAAAATAAAAACGCGCAAAACGAGAATTGAAAAGCTTGCTTTATTAATTTCTAATCGACTAGTTTTCAAAACAAATCCCTGCTGCATTCACCGGATCATCCGTGAGCTAGACCAGCTGAAAATATAAATGAAATACGGCGATACCACAGGATGAATATGGTAAGTATATCTACGATAATGCCTTGTTCAGACTACAGAGTTTTTTACGATAACAGAATCGCTTTCTTTTCGGAAATTTCAGCATCAGTCAAAAGTAAGATCATCGTTCCGGATTGGGCCACACCGGACTCTGAGCCAGATGGTTGAAACAGTAGCACCACAGTTTAAGGTTGAAGCAGGGAGAGTGGATTGCATGGACGGCTCAACGGATGCTGACGAGGATGGCGGACAATTCCACAATTCAATATTTTAAATTGTTTTTTGTTAGTTTATATACATACATATATACATATATACGTTAAAATCAAAACAATGAACTTTATGTTTAAAAAGAAATAAAATTTAACTACGCTCCCATTTTGAAATAAGATAAAATTTATTTTGATCTAACCTACTCTTAATTTGACAGTTCTACAATTTCATTTCAAAAGTAGAAACTTTTAATTTGACCATTAATAAAATTTAATCATAAAAGTTGTGACTTTTAAAATCAAAGGATTTAGCATTTTTATTTTTACTGTTCATGTTTTTTGCAATTGAAAGTTTCTGACTTTCTACCGAAAAAAAAACCAATGCAAACTTTTAAATCTACCAACGATTTTTTAATTCTATTAACATATAATTGTAAGCAAATCTTACATCCCCCGTGTTAGTGAGAATTTTCGGTTTCGGATGCAGCCGAAGGAACTCGATCTTCAGAGCGTGTCCAGTTTGTGAACAGCGTAAAGCTGGAAATATATTTGCATTAGCTTTAAGGTTATTAAAGTAAAGAAACAAGCTTACAATTCGTGTTTCCTCCTTTTTTCCTGCACCTCTGATTCCCTAACCTCAATTCCACTAGAGTAACAAACTCACTGCTAGAAATTGTAATATAATTGGTTTGTTTGTTTGTAATTCAATTCTGACCTGTAAATTACCGTTTAGTTATCAAAGTTTGAAGATTTAGAGCAATAGAAACGCAAATAATAATGAATATGCTGTAAATTAAACTTTTGTCTCCCTAGCGTGTTTACACTGTATCCGTCCGTTTTCGTGTACCGCTAACTGCCAAGGTTAATTTAAATATCGAGGTGCGTTCGAGGTACCCAGTGGGCTTAACACCCCGGTTGGGTGTAGATACAGATAACAGCGCCAACGCGCACTAATACCTATGCATGTGCGAACCCACATCACTAAATGAACAGTACAGCGCAATCAAAACAACTATTGACCTTATTCAACTTCGGCAGCTTCCGTTTGCGTTTGCCCGACGACATTTTGACAAATACCTTCCGACGTTATAAAATTGAAGCAATTATTATTCCAACGCAATTGTTGAATAGAATGCATGCTACGTTAGCCATGGAAGTCGGTATATTTTATTACGCTTGTTTAGCAATGATACGATGCATTTCCAGTGTAACTTTTTGAAAAGATAAGTTTTGAATAGAATTATATATTAAAACTAATTTTTTGCAGGTGAGCAGTTTTGATTTCGCCATGGGCATTTAACTATTTATAGCTCGCAAGGCTAAGTCTCTAATAAATCAAAACAAAATATAGACTTTTCATCAACTCTGTTGAAGGATTGATTGCTAAATTGAAAAAAAAAATAATAATTTGTCAGTCTATACAGGGTGGTCAATCTGAAACAGGGTGATAGAAGACCATGCAAAAAAATGTTCTACACAGTACCTCAATTCCTGCTTATATAGGAAATATTCAGGTTTTAATGGTTGTGACTGCCCTACCTTTGAAGCATCCTGGCAGAAATTCCCAACCACTTAGCGATCTAGAACAATTTGTCAAAATTAGCTATCTATCCATTGAGCAGCTTAAACCAAGCAATCTGGAACATTTTTGCATAATGCAATGTTAAGTAACATTTTTGCTATCTGCTAACCATACCAAGTTATAAGCACATGAACATTAGCAGTTCTTCTCAATTCTCAAGGGGGAAAAAATTTTCGTGTGAATCGACAAAAACTGCTTATGTTCAGATGTTCTTTTTTAAACCCTAATTAGTAGTAGTCACATAGTCACTATGAACGGAGTTTTGATTACTTGGTCAAGTCAAGAGAAATACACACTTAGAAATAACTAATTTTACACGTGACGGAATCCATTTTGGACATTAAAGATGAGACGTAAGCAAACATGTCATGTAATAATATCAAGCGCTCCGAGACTGAAAAGTTCGTTGCTTGACGAAAAGTACGTTTGATTGAGCATATAGCTCAATCGCGTCTGTTATGACTCAAATTTATGTCAAAATTGACGCTCGTATACTCTCAGAGCACCTAAATTTACACGAATTTTTCTAAGTGTGTAGCTTGTTTAGTGTTTGATCGAAAATTAACCTTTTTATATTATATGTAATATAATATAAAATGTTTGTATCCTTTTATAACTAGGAAATCTAAACTTTGTCTGAAGAACAAACTTGATCTGTGGGAGTACACTTTGATTTTTCAAAAAAATGCATTTTTTTGGCTTAAAATGTTCCTTGGGATGTATACTTTAATTTAGAAAAGACTCCAAGTCCACCAAAATATTCCTTACCGCTTTACGAAGCGATTTCCTAAAACATGTACCGGCGGGCTGAGAGAGCATTTGAGCATTTAAACGCGTTTATCTCGAAACGGGGTTTTTCAAACTGGCGTGGGAAATAACTCTAACCAGTTATCATCAAATTTGGAGATCGCCTAGGTTTTCTTGTTCAAAATTAAATTCTGCTTAGAAATACGTATCCACATTTTCGATTTTGTCAAGAATTGATTTTTAATCCACGATTTTGTAAGCATTTTTAGGGTGAAAAATGGACTTTTTTTCCTAAGGCCACAACTTTTGAAAAAATTAATTTAAAAAAAATCGGAATACGTATTTCTAACCCAAATTTCATTATCAGGATTTTTGTTCGATTTATGTTCCAGGATCACATGGAAAGGAGTATTTTCCCACGCCGTTTTCCGACTTCCGCGCGAGGACACCCGCGCGACCTGGTGCACCGGCCACGGGGAGACGCCAATCGAGTTCAAAAAATAAAAATTGTAGTTCGAAGGATGACTAATATAACATATTTGCCCTCCCTTAGTGTTTTATTGCTTAAAAAAATTAACGAAAATGCCTTACTTTTTGGACGTTCAAAGTGGGGGATAGTACTAAAATAAAAATTACAAAATATTTAAAAATCCTTTTGACGACCACTTTTTCTGCAAATCTGTCATATAATCTTAGTTGTTAGGTTGAGGTGCATTTGAAATCTCTCAGATTAACAAGTAAGAAAAATTCTACGAGGTAAAAATTCAATTGACCGTTATCCGTAAGGAATCAATGAAATCGATTTATTTTTATTTTCTATCATTAAATGGGATTAACAGAGCTAAGTCTGTACAAGTTCGGAATAAATTTTCTCTTTATTTAATTTTCCACAGATGTTAAACTTTTACCGAACAGTTTCGCAATTCAAAAACCCAGGAAAACCTTAAGGAGGAGGCTCTGTAGCTTAGTGGTTACCTTTTCGGCTTCCTTAGCAGAAGGTCGGGAGTTCAATCATTATGCCTTATCTACACTAGATTTAAAAAAAAAAAAAAACAGTCTGCTGCGTTTTTTAACGGATCGCATTACATATCACAGTGAATCCTGATCTAAAAAGAACCCAACCCCCAACCCAACTATCCTTCCCGTGACAATTGTGGAAGATGCAGAGGTAATCTAGGTCTCTAAGTAAGAATGATTGTCGAACTAATAATCATGCTTTCCCTCCCCAAAGACCGTGAGGACGTGGCCGGCGTCGGTACTGATCTATAAATAGAATGAATCAGTGAACTTGTACATTAAAGACGGAAATCTTATTCCAAGTTCCATCTATGCTGTTCTCTGTGCAATTTCACTAGCTCTGAACTACGAAAAAAACCCAGTAAAACCTTACTGACTGGATTAGTGTATAGGCAACACAATAGCTCAAAATCATTATTTACTGATAAGCAAAAGCTAGATAAAGGAGATCTAGTTTTGATTCAATATTCTATTTTATCTAGATCCATTGTTTTCCTCAAAAATATCCATAATTGTTATGAATAAATGTATATGTACCTTTTGGTGAAATGGATTCGTTACCATCGGTTGCACTGCGTCCTACACTCAAATGATCGATGCCACTGTTTGGGTCTTCCAAATATCCTGTGTCATCCGTAGCTTCCGGTTTACTACACTGGGATGCACTGTGGTCACTTATTTTGTTTGAGTATATGTCATTGGGCGTGGGAGCAACATTAAACATGGCATCGAAGCCATCATAAGAACATGAATTATTTCCACTTATAACGGTCGATTCTTGAAAGCTATTGGTACCATAATTGCACACATCCAGTTCACCACTGTTTGGTTGTTGGACACAATGAGGTTCGTAAGAATACTGGGAGGTTGTCTGGACTGCTGGATATCGATGATCTTCGGATGAGCTGATGAAAGGCTGTGATTCTGCATATCCCGGAGAAGCTTGCGACGTGTAATTTTTAATCCAATAGTTGGGACACAAATCTCCACCATGGTAGGGCACACTTTTCACACAATAAACATTATGATAGAGGCTTCCGACTCGATCAAAACTGCCGGATGTTGCACAGGTGTCGTAATAAGATCCATCTGTTTGGCTTCCTTCCAGAGGAATACCATTCGATTGATATTCCGGTGGTGTGGCGGGAACGTAATGATCACGTGTTTCCATTTTGCAAAAAGGTGTAAACATTGTTTTATGAAAATATATGTATGCACACTACAGTTAACAGTACGACTGGTTTTGTCCAAGTGAAACAAACGAATAGCAAAAAGTATGCTCTATGGATGCTGATCGCATCTGTTCGATCGGAGTCAACAAAGAGCAAGCAATGCCAAAGCATACCATCCAGAGCAGATGGTTCAACCAATCAGCAACGAGCACGGATTCGAGTAGGCGTTTCTATTCCGTTGCTTACTGTGATCTCGAGCACATGAGCAGGATTTTTTCTCTATGCTGAAAATCAGAAGCACTTTTGATGATGGATTAATTTATCGTTGCTTGAAATTTCCGCAGAAACGTTTGCTCTTTTATGGAACCCGGCCCCTTTGCTGCTGTCCGAAGAGGAAACATTATATAAGATTGTGGATTTATTTGAATTTTATAATGGCCGCAATTTGGCTACTCCGGACTCGATAATTATCATATTAATTAGCAATCTTTATTTCTTTGTACTCGAACATGCAATCGATGGGGACGTCGGAAATAATGATGATGCTATTTTAAGGAGGGTACCATACATTGCTCGGCCAAATGGGACGCATCAGGGATGTTATTCTCTCTTCATTTTTTAACACTGTCAGCACTCCCGTTGCATGTGTTTAGCCTTGTTGTGATTGTCGTATTCGGTTACAGCGTTTGTGGAATAACATTAGGCGTTATATTGATATTTTCCTGTTTGTTCGGTTCGGTGACAGTGTTTCTCTTTATCGTTTTGTCAATCAGTTTTAATTAAGTGTTTACAAATAGGAATTTCTTTTATTGCATATTTTTCAAAACATTTTATTTTTTTCTATAATTTGAAAGACGAAAATTGATTGATTGATTGATTTATCTTTATAAGGGAGGCTTTCAGCCTGGGCCTGGTTCGCCTCCAAGTAAGACGAAAATGTCAAGATACAACTGCTCGACAAAAGGCCATCAAAACTGAACCTTTTGTTTCCATCTTGAAAAAAAAAAAAGACTTGATGATGCAGATTTTGAAATTTTGCAAGGTCATACCTCGTTTAAATTTTAAAATGCTTCTATTTCTCAATTAAACTTTTATAAATTTGTTCAATGATTTAACGGGGGATAAAAACTCAAGAACTGCTCAATTGGCTTATTATATTAAATATTTAATTATTTTATAAATATTCGATGAAAATTGTTCAAATAGGTAGATTTACCCTACAGTAACACTCAAATTAATTAAATGCATTTTTTTTGATGCAAAAAGATGATACATCATCTACACTTTTTCAAGATAGCCGGCTTTAGAGGCCTAATCACAGACAAACAGACATAGCTCTTTAAATATTTTTTTATTAAAAATATCTTCACGGGACATCTTGCAAGCTATTCGTGGAAAAAAGATTGCTTCAAATCTCAAATGATGTTGCATACAAGTTCAATAGAATTTATAGAAACGTCAAAGTGACCGGGGATTCAAGAAACTAATAATAATTAAATTGAACGTTAAATGCGTGTACGGGATTGAGGAGCAAGAGTTTTGTCTGTTTTTCTGTTTGAATGTGATTAAATATTGACGGCAATCGAGTTCCCTTCCGAAAGAAGACGTGACAAGCAGGGTTGCTTCCACTCACTTGCTATAAAAAAATATATTTCGGAATTATGCAATCATTAGGTGTTATAATGCTATGTTGTACTTGTAAGTAACAAGAAGAGGGTGTAAAGTATGTGTTTGACTCATAAAACCTATTCATTTCGCTTTGAGAGCGTCACAATCAGCGATCTTATGATTCGTGAGCGTTCACTCAGAGTGAGCGCTCACGAGTCGTAAAATCGCTGATTGTGACACACTGAAAGCAATATTGACAGATTTTATGTGTTAAACATATACTTTATGACCTCTTCTTGAAACTTACAAGTACTAATTAGCATTATACTATATAATGATTTCATAATTCAGAAAAAAACATTTTTTTATAGCAAGTGAGTAGAAGTAACCCTGGTGACAAGAGATTTTTGAGTGCCCAGGACCACATTTGGCACATCCGGCCATTTTTCTCGTACCCCGAGTAAGTGGCCAGTTCTTGTCTAGGGCAAAAACCCATCATGCGAACCATCAAATTACATGCGAACTCTTAAACAACCTCATTGATGGTTGCATTAAAAACCCAGGACAACATTGGCCACCACCTGTTCCGGATACCACCTGGGAAGTGGCTCAAAATTTGATTTAGTAAGAAGGGTCAGATCTGACCATAGATGAATGAATTTAGGTATTTCCTAAATAATCTGACAAATGCTTAAGGCAAGTTGAGATTAGATTCAGATTGTGGATAGGCCATTAGAGCAAACTTCTTGAAGTGCAATAATGAACATAGAAATTTGTTTGAAATCCTGAACTTAAATAATTTAAAATTCTCACACTTTTTAATTTAATTATTATTAATTTATTTGGTATGGCTCAACCGAATTAACTTTACAGAGCCGAGGATTCTTGTTCACTATACAATACATCTTAAAACTATAGTCAAAAGGTACAACACAATAAATATTTTATCTTCCGCTATCCAATAAGCCTCCTCTACCAGAACGGGAGCCGCATCCAGTGGCAGATTCTCCAACGAGGGTCAGAGCGCTTCCATTGTAGCAAAGGACGCAAAACGTGGTCAGCACTCACACATTCATCACGAAACGGTTGCTTTGCAAAGTCGACGACGCATCGACTGAAAAAACTGCTGATGAAGAACAATGAGAAGAACCACACAATGGTTGCTGCCAAGTAAACAGACGATCGCGTGACACACATTAAGAGTGGCCTACTTTTGTCAACAGCCGAGTGAACACTAAATTCTCACACTTAGGCTAGAGGAAATTTCTTTGACTTAGACAAGATTTTCCCTAGAAATTATTTTCAAAATTCCAAAATTACAGACATGAAAAAATAAGTTGAGTATATGATTATATGAATAAAAACAAAATTAAAATCATTTGGGGTGGTTAATTTTCCCGGAAAGTTTCTGTTGAAGTTTTCGGATTTTCACGTACTTTGAAACCACCGTATACAAAAAATGTAGTATAGTAAATTATCTCGGCAATCCATAAAAAATATAATCTGAAAAATGAATTCCGCGAACATTTTTACGATCGAGGAATATCGCAAAGAAAACCAGAGAACTGAAAATTATCACTCATAAATATTTTTCGTGCTTGAAAATTTCTTATCTTTCACTGGTTTTTTCGTTTTTGAGCTAGTACCGAAAAACTAACGACCATAGGAAAGCTATGAAAATGATCGTGTTCTTTTTTGTTTTATGATTCTCTTAAGGCCGGCTCACAATAGATACGTTTTCAGGTTTTTTTTTGACAGTTAGCCATGCATCATCTGTCAAAAAACCCGAAAACGTATGCATTGTGCGCCGGCCTTTAGAGTGGCGTGTTACCAGCCATGGATACCACTCTGAAAGTTTCACCAGTGAAAGGTAAAAAATGTCAAACAAGAAATTTTAATTTGACAAAAATTAAAATAAACTAATATTAATTAGGTATCTACTCAGAAAATTGTTTTCTTGTTTGTCTTTACAATTTTACTCCACCGTGAATTTTTCGTTGACAGTTTTTAAAAGATTTGTTTATGGATTACTGAGATAATATTCTTATCATTTCACGATAGAATTTGTTCTACAATGCTTGGTTCATGACCCAACAAACATTGAAAGCTGTTAAATAGCTTATTCAGACAAAAATGTGCTTATTTAGCTAAAAACAAGGGCAGGGCTGAGTCGAAGAAAAAGTACCAACTTCGACGTCAACTCCGACTGTTATGAAAAAATAATGTAAAACTAGAACCTAATTTAAGTTTTCACTCGGCTGTCGACAAAAGCAGGCCACTCTCGATGTGTGCCACGCGATCGTCTGTTATCTCGGCAGCAACCATTGTGTGGTCCTCCTCATTTTTCTTCTTCAGCAGTTCTTTCGGTCGATGCGTCGTCGACTTTGGAAAGCAACCGTTTAGTGATGAGTGTGTGAGTGCTGACCACGTTGTGCGTCCATTGCTGCAATGGAAGCGCTCCGACCCTCGTTAGTGTAACTGCCATACAATGAAACCACTGGAAGCGGCTCCAGTTCTGATGGAGGAGGCTTTTTTGATAGCGGAAGATAAAGTGTTTATTGTGTTGTACCTTTTGAATATAGTTTTAAGATTTATTGTATAGTGACCAAGAATCCTCGGCTCTGTAAAGTTAATTCGTTTGAGTCTTATCAAATAAATCTATAAACAACAAAAGAACCTAATTTCGTAATCGTGATTACCTCTCACCCCAGCTGGTCTGGGTTCAATCCCAGTCAGCGCCACCGGGATGTTCTGAGGCATAACATCTCTGATCCATGAGTTGATAAGTCGATAGGTAGGGTCCAAATGTGGGAGCTGCCTCCCTGCCGTCAGTAGCACGGAACCTAATTTGGTCCAGAGTTTTTTTTTAGAATCTTCCCTTTCTCGGAAAATCGGAATTTTTCCTGCTTTTCTTTGCAATTTTTTCAAGCCGTCAAAATTTTAGAGGATTTTCCAGATTATATTTTATATGGATTGCTGAGATAATTTCCTATCAGCATCGTATAGAGTGTTTACACTTGTGCTGATTCGCGTGATGGTGAGCCTTTAGTTTGAAAACCCACGGTTATTAGCATGATATAAACAGTTTTTAGGTGCTGATTAACATCATCACGCATCACGTTAGTTGTTACCAAACGCTCATAAAACTGCGGAGAGATTTTGTGTGTTGAGTCCGCAAGCGAGTGTCCCGCGCGTAGTTTTCGAAAGTGAGTGCAAGGCAGATCCAGATAGCACTAGGCAGCAGCATTAAGGGGGTAGAGGAGTATCGACCAGCGGAACGCTTCCTGGATGTGGGACTAGGCACCGGAATGCTGGACGTGGTATGCTATGCCAAAACCACCAGGAATGCATTTGCCAGTAGCTGTGCGAGAAATTTAATTGCGGTTCAATGAGGGCATATCTATTTTTTTTCATTGGGAAATGGGTCTCTAT